CTGTCCTTGAGTGTCTGGCCGCCTTGTCCCCGCTCCTTCAAACCTTCTTGCCCTCACGGAGCACATGATGGAGCAGAGGGGGTTCCACCAAACCACCACTCCTTTGAGGATTTGAGACCTCCCTTGTATGTTCTGGAGCAATAACTTCTTACCATGTTTGAGTGTGGCTTCCCTGGACCACTCAGGAGTAAGTGAATTTTGGAGATGCAGAGAAATAAAATGAAATTCTTGCGCTGGTTCCTCTTTAAAGGACGACGTGGAGATGGTTGCCCAGGACATTTGGTTTTAAGCGAATTGGAGTGGCTGTTGCAAAAATGGAAGGCTTTGAAAACGGGGCCTCTGGAGCAGCTTGGGAAGGTCAAAGGGCAGCAAATACGCAAACCAGATGGTATTTCACCAGGGCTTTGGAAAAGAAATTGCCTGAAATGGCTAAGATAGGGTTGAGAACACCCAAGACTTCCCTAAACTGCTTCCAAGGAATGGAAAGGCTCTACTGTGGCACTTCAAAAATAGTCATTGGGTATCTGGGTGTTTGAAACCACTTCGTTCTGATGATGTGGCAGAGGAAGCGTCTTTCTTTTTTTCTTTTCCCTACCTTCATCAGGTGCCTAGAGCCGACGCTGAGGAGTGCAAGGGACATTTAAGCAGAGCGATGTGCAGGGTTTGAGGGAGACGGAGAGGTGAAGAGGTGTGGAGGACACCCAGTGCTGATCCCAGGCAGGGTCTGCAAACGCCGCTGGACTCCTGCCGTCTGCCAGCATCTGTCCTGCTCAGGTCTGCTTGCCTCTTTCACCTCCAGAAGCACTAAGAAAGCCGTACCGAGATGTCCGAGCCGGCTTTCTTCAGCCTTTAGCCTTGTCCTCAGAGAGGTAAAGATAGGAAGGTGCTCCTGAAGCAGCCTGCTTGGTGCAGCTCCCATTTTTTGATAGTAACTATGGGAGCGGGGATGCTGTGACATCTTAAGGAATCGCTGTTAGGGGCTTTCTTGGCAAACCCATTCCCCGCGCTTCTGATGCGAGGACATCGGCAAGTGGGCGCTTCCCCAGAAAGCTTAGAAAGATCCATTCGTTGGTTGAAAACCGCTGTTTGCTCCATAAAACCCTTGGGGCTGGAGGAGTAAAGCAAAAAACCAAGCTGGCAGCTCGGAGTGTTCTGTGTTCTGCAGCGAGAGCGCTCTTTGCATTCTGCGCATACCCCGCATGCCGCGCGTTTCCAACCCGCCTGCTTCAAAGAAAGGCTGACACCCCTTCTTCCCCGG